TTTTTGGATAAGTGTTTTTTTTGTTTTTTTTTTTTTTTTTTGGAGAGCTTTTTGCTATAGGACGCGTGCACTCGCCAGAAAGACTAAGAGTGACAGAGAGACAGAAAGCGAGAAATCAACCCCTAGGAGGGATGGCCATGCCACAATCCCTTCTCCTCCATTCTCCTCTCGGGATCTTGGGCACACATGCACACGTGCCTGGCGTTGAGTTCAAGCCACCGGGTCCAGGACTCGAACAGCAGTTGACTCCATGGGAGTCCAGCGACATAGCCATTATGCCAACTGCTGGTCCTGAGATAAGTTTATTTTTGATGGAAACAAAAATATCACGAACTACTATAGCCTAAAGAGAAACACATCATTGTGTACATCTGTTTTGAAGTCTATATTCTCAAGCTAGGGAGTCACTGTGGATTAAATATAAATGAGATAGAGAGAGATCATTGTCTATGTCTAAATTATTTAAAATGCTCAAACTACGTTCTACAACACTGGTTATACAAGCGGCCCATGTGTGTTACAAAGGATTCAAAAATAAGACTAAATAAAATAGATTACTACTACTAAAACACTAACTGCTGAACAGTAACAATAATTATGCTGGCCCTTTTGGAATTTAGACAGGCTGTTTCTGAGGATTTCAGAGCCAAAGAGTCTTTAAAAAAGAAAAAAGAAAAAAATAAAAAGAATCGACACCTTTTTCCTTATGAATTTCCTAGTAACGATAAAGGAAACCTCAAATCTTCCACGAATTTTGCAACAACCCCGAAATACTGAAGGCGAATGGATTTACTGCTGTAAGGACGATGGCTCAGTACAGCTCCGGGAGGCAGCGCCCAGCGGGGACCACGCTCAGTGGGCCATGCCCTGCCTTTTACCTCAGCGCTCTCTTCTACCTACTCAAAGTTCTGCTTAGTATTAAAACAAACAAGATGACCAGCGTCTCTAGTTCAGAAATAAAAGTACTCACCAGTAAAGTAATGATTAGTTCTGCAAAGGATTAGAAAAGAGTTTAGCAAATAAGGTTCATAGAATTATTTAAAAGGGGAAGTAAGGTCATGCCATGACTCTGCTTGACAATTACAGTTGCGTGATTTAAGCATTCGTGGAAAGCCCCAAATAAATGAACGCACGTCGTGAAACCGAGGCCTGAGTGCTGGTCTAAAAGCCTCCACGGGGAAGCCTCTGTTCCTCCACCCTAAGGAACCGAGCAGTGAATGAGAGGGGGGAAGCAGGTGCCAGCCTGACCCCCGTATCTGATAGCAGCAGAGCATTCTAAACACAGAGCAAATCGAATTCACTCTTCAGAACACTTACTTTGATTGGGCAAGAACTCCTATCACTTCTGCATATAAATCTGCAATAATATGCACATTCCCAGTGTTGGTTCCTGAATATCTAAAATAAGAGAACAAATGTAATATCATTTTGTAAGCAAACTCTGTTAATAAATTTAAAAATTCCTATCAGAGTAGTATATATTTTTTTCTGAATATTCATATAGGATCATAAAAACCACATAAAGTTTCTTCTATCTCTAGATTTTAATTTGTCCTAAAACTTAACCTCCAGGTTTTTATAAACCCAACCTACTGTGTCAAGAACTACTTTCACAGAAATCTTTCCCGTGAGTCTTTTGTGGTCATTCAAAAGAAATATGAATATAGGTGCTTTGAACTCTAGAAACAAATGGTCAATACAACGTCAGATCCTATCTCAGGAGCGAGTCTACACCTGGATTGCGGAGAAGAGCTGCAATGCCGCGTGAGTGCTTCACTTACCCTTCCTTATGTTTAAAGTGCTTAAAAGCCAGGTTGAGGACTTCGTGGACTAAGGGGTCAGGTACAGGATGGACAGGAATCTGGAATGAAAACATTACCCCGTGAGAGCTAAGTGAGTTGCTAGGCTTTTCTCAGTATTCTCATCATGTCAACTCGTTAGGTCAAGACTATTTTAATCTTCAGGAGGTAGGCGATCACTAATCTGGCCATCTTCTTTTTCTCTGAGAATCTCATTTTCCCCAAGAGTCTGGCTACTTGTCTAATTTAAGAAGCTCTCAATTTCAGAGTGTCGGCTTCGTTATCCCAAATCAGTAAACTACAGACTGCTCTGGGGAAAAGCAGTAGTTACTGTCCTTGGTTCTGCGGTTACTTCTGTGGAAAGCTAAGAAGCCACTGGAACGTACTTCTGTGCAACACCTACTGGAAAGCCACTGCAGAGGAGCCCACATCCCAGTGGCCAAAAGGGGCGCCGCCTTCTCCAGCTACTTAGAATCATGTATGCATTTAAATTAGGAATCAGCCATTTAAATATTCTCATTTAACTCCTTAAAAAGTATATATTAGTTCCTACTAGGTAAAACAAATAAAAATACATAAGACAATAAAAAAAAAATAACCAGGGTCTTCCCCCACATACAATCACAGTGAGCAGCCTCACGTATGTCCTTCTGGAGTCTTCCCGTGGCCCTCCCATTCATACGCAGGCATTCGTGTGTGCCCGCTGGATTTTTACTGAACACAATGATACATCTTTAGAGCTCCTCCTTACACTTTTCTGTTTTTCTTTTTTTTGAGAGATTTTTTTTTCTATAGGGTACGAGCGCTTCCCAGAGAGACAGAAAGCAAGAAACTACCCCACCCCCCCCAAGAGGGGATGGCCATGCTACAATCCCTTCTTCTCTCAGGATTCTGGGCACGCACACCCAAGCACCCAGCATGAGTTTGAAGTTGCCGGGTCCAGGACTCGAACTATGGTTGACTATGAGGAGTCCTGTGACATAATCATTACGCCATCTGTTTGCCCCCTTCCTTATACTTTTTAGCAGCCACATCATACTCAATATGTATACCCCACAATTTACCTAATAAGTCTGCTATTATTGGGCATTTCATTTCAGAGGTTCAGAAGTCAAACAGTACTGCCACACACACTCTGGCTGTTAACGTGATACACAGTCACGGCTGACATGGACCATGGTTCCATGCATGCGTGGGTCTGTTCCTAGCTCTGTCTATGAGCGTCTGTCATATCAAGGTGTGTATGTCCACACACACTGAGCCACCTTCACTCCGGGGAGTACTGGCTGGCTCTGGTGTCCGGTCCTCCAGACCCCAACTTTTCTTCAGAGACAGCCTGGCTATTCTTAGCCCACTGGAGTCGCCTTTTCGAGTTCGACAGAAACTATGGGGCATTTTGTTTTGTAGGTTTTTGCCAAAAGATGCATGTGCTTGCTGCCAAAGAGAGAGAGAGAGAGAGAGAGAGAGAGAGAGAGACAGACAGACAGAGAGAGGGGAAGTAGGAAGTCTCTCCCCAGGGGCAATGGCCACATGGCAATCTCTTCTCCTCCTTTCTCCTCTTGGGGTTTTGGGCATGCACACACGTGCACCTGGCGTGATTTACGAGCGGACAGGTGTGGGACTTAAACCGCGGAGTTGGCCATGTGGGATCCAAATGGGGCCATGTCTTAACCTCCATGTCCCCTGCTGGCCTCCAGCTCTGTTTTCATGGAGTAATAGTCCCATCTCTATCATCAAAATTGTTCACATCTGTCATTGCATGATTTTTAGAAGCAGTTCTCATTCTACTTAAACTTCAAAAAGGGGGTGTCTGGTAGACACTAAAGAATACTGAAGGTATATTCTATCTATTCCGGTCCCATGTCCAAAAATGGAACACGTGATGAAAGAACAGGAAGACTGCTACTGGTTAAGACGGGAATCCTGCAGGGTCAGCAGGCTCATCCATGAGCTAAATGACCAGGTTCAGCACGAGAGGGCGAACAAATGCACGGGTCAGCAGGAGGACAGCCCACTGCCCAACACGGCTGTCCAGGCTGTGTGTCAGCATCTGAAATGCTCATGGTAAAGCCAGGCCACTGGGCCAGCAGGTGGTATGGAGGCTAAGGCACTGGATCCCACATGGCCAATGCTGTGGTTCACGTCCTGAACCTGGTGGCATGAAAAATGACACTGGACAAGAGTGCGTGTGTGTGTGTGTGTGTGTGTGTGTTTGTGTCCAAAACCCCAAGAGGAGAAGGGAAGAGGGGATTACAGCATGGCCATCCTCTCTTGGGGTGCTTTCTCACTTTCTTTCTCTTCTGTTTCTCTTTGGTGAGTACACATGCCTTACAGCAAACTTTAAAAAAAAAAAAAAAAAAAGCCCCAAACACTAAAGATCTACTCCTCAGTCATAAAAATATCACCACCTCCGATAGGTGCTGATGGAACTAAGACAGGAGCTCGAAATGGCTTGCAGACTAGGCTTCCCAACCTGTGTGTCCCACAGAACAAATGTATTAAATAATAGAATGAATAGAATAAAACTAGGGCTCACCAAGAAAACTGCTCAGACACTCTAAATGCTACGTACTGTTTAAACATGATTTTTCTCTGGGGCTGGCAGGTGGCGTGGTGGTTAAGGGCACTAGACTCCACACGGCTGACAGTGGTTCAAGCCCCAGACCTGGTGGCTTTCTTTCTTTCTCTCTCTCTTTCTCTCTCTCTCTGTCTCCTTTTCTGTCCTTCTCTAGTCAAAAGTAAGTATATAAAGAAATAAGAAAATAAAGTCAAATAAAATAATTCTTTTTAGAGGTTTTTAACTATAGGGCGCGTGAGCTCGCCAGACAGACAGAGACATCGAGACAGAAAGTGAGAAATCACCCCTCAGTGGGGATGGTCACGCTGCAATCCCTTCTCCTCCATTCTCCTCTCGAGATCTTGGGCACACACACACATGCGCCCAGAGTGTGTTTAAGCCACCGGGTCTGGGACGCGAACTGCAGTCGACTACATGGGAGTCTAGCGACATAGCAGTTACACTAACTGCTGGACCCCAAATAAAATAATTCTTAAACAAACAAACAAACAAACAAACATGCTTTTCCCCTGGAGTCTAAAACCTTGGTACTAACAAACTAAAATCCGTAGTCAGCTATTACCCAACAATTATTGTTCTTTCTTGGGAAAAAAATTAGTTCTTGAGTAAATTTGTGTTTCCATGGTGAAATACAGTATTTAATTTGATTGTATGTATAGTAACTAAAAACTCTGTCTAATTTGTTATGATTAAAAACCTTAATATTGGGGGACCAGCAGTTAGCGTAATGGCTATGTTGCTGGACTCCCATGTAATCGACCGCGGTTTGTGTCCCGGACCCAGTGGCTTAAAACTCACGCTGGTCGTGTGTGCATGCATGCCCAAGATCCTGAGAGGAGAACAGAGGAGAAGGGATTGCAGCGTGGCCATTCTTCCTGGGGGGTGATTTCTCACTTTATGTCTCTCTGTTTCTCTCTGTCTGTCTGGTGAGCGCACGCGCCCTATAGCAAAAAAAGTTCTCCAAAAAAACAAAACAAAACAAAACCCTTAATATTGGGACCAGCAGATAGAATAATGGTTATGTAACTGGACTCCCATGTAGTCGACTGCTGTTCGAGTCCTGGACCCTGTGGCTTAAACTCACACCAGGCGCGTGTGCGTGCATGCCCAAGATCCCGAGAGGAGAATGGAGGAGAAGAGACTGTGGCATGGCCATCTCCCCTGGGGGGTGATTTCTTGCTTTCTGTCTCTATGTCTCTTTCTATCTGAAGAGTGCATGCGCCCTATAGCAAAAAACTTCCCCCCCCCAAAAAATTAATATTATAAGAGATTGACCATTTTACATAATCTCATATCACGTATTTTACCAATAGGAATTAATATTATTTTTATTATCAAAGGGAGAAAACTTGAGAGTTAAAAAAAAAAAATGAAACGCTTTATCGCTTTGAGCAAGTCACTATGCTAAGAACCCAGCTTCACCTGTGAAATGAAAATAACAGGTAACGTGCACTGGGCACTTTCCACGCACAGGCATGACTGTCTTTAAAGCTCATAGTTCTACCAAAATGATACTATTACTATCCATTTCTATAGGGCGGAGAGGAGGTAGTGAATAAGCTACCGTCTAGGGCCACTCACACCTGCTCGGCTGTCTCCCAGGGCTGTATGCTGAGGAGAGGGAGCCCTCTGTCTGTTAGGGAGAGTCCACAACTTACGGGACTGTCACTGAAAACATAAATTACGCTAAGAACAAATCATTTGTAATATGCGAGGTCAGGACTAAGCTCAAGACTAAAACTACTGTGTAATCAATACTTCGATATTCTTAGAACTGCCCTTCTCATCCAAATAAAATTGAATCATATTTTAATATAGGTGCAATATGTGGGAAAAAAGTGAAAGTCCTATTAAATTGTAAATATATTACATTGATTCCTCTCTAGGTCTATTAAACTCTACTGCCGTTCAGACACGAAAACTGGGTTAGTCTACCATGGTATTTCAGAAGGGCCTATTGATTTTTCCTTCATTTTCGATACTTTCATTCGTTTTGAAAAAGCTCAAACGATTTGCCCTTTCCTGGGGTAAATACAGGCTTCTGGGTAAAGGAAGGGTAACGCTGAGGATACATTTTCCTTGATGGATGTATTTATGATGGCCTGCAGATGCCGGAGGAGGGATGGAACGGGTCAGCGTGGCACTGAGGGCGAGCACTTTGGAACAGAGAGATCGGGGCCACTGGGCTTCCCTTTCTCACTTGGTCCGCGTGAAGCACGGGTCAGAAACGGTTTCTGCAGCGGACCCGAAAAATGAGCCCACTGAAAAGTGTCCCTGAGTTTACATACCCAGACGTTTGTTTAGTTTTTTCCTACCCAAAGACCAATTTGGGCGGGTTTAAAAGGGAAGAGGAGGAGAAATAAGACACATCAGAGAAGGGGAGAAGAGGAGGATGAGGGGAAGTGGGGGAGGGCGCCGATGGGGTTGGGGTGCTGACACCAGGACCACTCGGGTGGCTTGTGCAGAAACGAGAGACCTCTGTGAGAGCAGCTCAGGAACTACAGGAGGTGGGGTGCGGGGACACGAGGGCACGGGGCCACGGCCAGCCCTGAACTCTGCGGGGAGGTTACCATCTCTGGGCCAAAGAAAACCCCCGTTCCATTATATGTTATATCCAACCAGGTGAAGAAGCGCGAGTGTCAGGCACCACACTGCTCAGGTGACCTAGGGCCGGCCCCCGGCAGAGGCTGGCTACACCCACCTGGAGGGCAGCGGGGCTGCTCGTAGCCTGGCCAACTCTGTCCTCGGCTCTTCCTACCCTGGTCACTTCAGCCTGGGTGGGACTAAGCATCCAGGTCCACGGAGCCAGCACCCCAACCAATCTGGCTTGTTAGCACAACCCTCAGAGACTCCTTTCCTGCGTCTACCGAAAAACCTTCGCAAGAGGTACAAATTAAAGTGATTTACCTCTTTGATTAATTCATTTACCTATTTTACATATTTTTTTAAAACTGAATTTGCTGGGGACCAGCACTTAGCGTAATGGCTATGTCGCCGGACTCCCATGTAGCCGACCGCAGTTCACGTCCTGGACCTGGTGGCTTAAACTCACGCTGGGCACATGTGCGTGCGTACCCAAGATCCAGAGAGGAGAATGGAGGAGAAGGGATTGCGGCGTGGCCATCCCCCCTGGGGGATGATTTCTCGCTTTCTGTCTCTCTGTTTCTCTCTATCTGGCGAGCGCACGCGCCCTACAGCAAAAGAAATAAAATTTGAATTTGTTTATTTCTTTCATAAAAGAGAAAGAGAGAAGCATCCCCAATGGGTACTTGCATTGAGGCTGAACCCCAGTCCTTACAGGTCCAGACCATGGGCATGTGGGTGCCTGAGACCATCCCCACCCGGATCCTGTGGCCTTGCCACTGTGCCACTACCAGGCCCTGCGATAATGTAAGTTTACAGATTTTGGAAGACCAAATAAATGTAAAAGCAAAAGCAAAGTATAAATGATACATAACTAAAACATTTTTATCTTGACTTTGGCCAAAAAGGAAAAAAAGAAAAGGAAAAGAAAACTATCAATGATCTTTGTCATCTCACACTTGCTGTTTATTGTCATCTATTTCAAATTATATAGTAAAAACAAACTCCCTGCCCAAACATGTCATAGGCAAAATATGAATTTTTTTAAAGATTTCCTAACTTTTTTCAAAATGATACAATATCCATAGCTGGAAATACACGGATCATTTTTGGTAATATGTAACCATTTAAAGACTTTAGACTTGAAAAAAAATCATAAGAGGTTTTTGCCTTAAGGCTTGTCTGTTCCCCAGAGAGAGACAGAGACAGTGAGAGGGAAAGTGAGAAATCACCCTCCAGGGGGAATGGGCACACTACAATCCCTTCTTCTCTATTCTCCTCCCAAGATCTTGGGCACGCACGTACACGTACCCATTGTGATTTCCAAGCCACTGGGTCCGGGATTCGAACCGCACACGGCCATGTGGGAGTCCAGCCAGTTAACCGCTATGACATCTACTAGCTCCCCAAATTTTAGATATAGGATGATACCTGACATTACACTGTCTACATTCAAGCGTCTCGCCCACTCTGAAGTCAAGTCTGAGTGCAACGCCTAAAACAAGGCCAGGTGCAGCACTCTAACAATGTTCGTGAAGTAAGTATTAACAGACAGGAGCAACTCGTTCATCTGAAAACCATGTGTACTGGACAGTCAGGCTGGCCCTTCTCCCCTCGCACACTCCGTCAGCAGTAACTGCACAATGACCACAGGCTGACGTGAAGGCTGGAGGGGTCAGACAGAGCAATGAAGTAGAGGCGGAGAGGGCCGGAAAGAGCCGAAGGACAGGCAGAGCATACCTACGACAAAACCATCCTGAGCAGTCCCACCCGCATCCACCTTGCTAAAGAGAATGCGTTCAGGTGGTGCTCAGAGATAAGAATGGGGGTGACAGACAGGGACAGGCAGGACAGCCCCAGGCAGTAAGAGACCTATAATTCAATTACAGCGATTCAGCCTGCGTACCCTAAATACGGCTGGAACAAGAAGGCATCGCAAGAAAATAAATACAGACTGCAGGAGGAAAGGGCTTACCTGTTTCAGAACTTCAACTAAAACTAAGCAAAAAATGAAATCTACGGCTAAGTCCCTCCTTTCAAGGAGATAATCTCTTTCACGCTGCTGTTCATCCCTGAAACGAGAATCCAAAATTAGTACCGCATCAAGACTCGACATTTTTTTTTTTTTGGAGAGATTTTCACTGTAGGGCGCGTGCGCTCGCCAGACAGAGAGAGACATTAGAGACAGAAAGCGAGAAATCACCCCCCAGGGGGGATGGTCACGCCGCAATCCCTTCTCCTCCATTCTCCTCTCAGGATCTTGGGCACGCACGCACACGCGCCCAGCGTGAGTTTTAAGCCACCGGGTCCGGGATGGAAACCGCGGTCAACTACGTGGGAGTCCAGCGACATAGCCATTACGCTAACTGCTGGTTCCCAAGACTCGACATTTTAAAACAGCGAGGTGCGAGGAGTCCATGCCGCTGGCTGTCTCACTGTGTCCGGTGCGACAGCAACTGCCAACGTGGACCCACCCGTGTGTGGGTCGCATGGCCTCATGGACTCCTTTTCACACGCTGGTATTTATACGGCTCGTCACTAGTACATCTGTCAGCAATTAAACCTCATCTCAAAGAATTAGTGAGAGGAAGAAAAGAATTTTACATTTCATTTAGAAAACCTAGCAGTGCTCTATACTTGATTACTAAATTTTTTAAATTAAGTATGGAAATACATGTGGGGCCAGCAGGTGGTGTGCTGGTTCCCACATTATCCCACATTGTGGTTCAAATCCCAGACCTGGACAATTGATAATCATGTCGGGCGCCCATGTGTGTGTGTGCCCAAAATCCAGAGGAGAACACTGTGGCATAGCCATCCCCCCAGAGGGTGATTTCTCACTCTCCTTCTCTCTGTCTCTCTCCCTCTAGCAAACACACGCGTCCCATGGCAAAAACCTGAAAAAAAAGAAGGAAAAAGAAACAAATGTAGTAACTATTCTAGATGAAAATACACAATAGGAGGTAACTTTCTCACAAGTCAAAGTGGCAAAAACGGTGACGAATCACAGAGGACACCGACCGAAGTCCAATACCAAGCCAGGGACAACCGCTTGAACACAAGCAGTTATTACACATAACGCCACAATCTCGGAGAAAAAATGTGAAGGAAGTAAAAAGAAGTTCTAGGATTTGGGCACCAAGAAGGGCATCGCCATATCCCAACCAGGGTTTGGGCAGCCTACCTGGATCCCAGCAACTGTCCCCCCCTGTCTCTGATTCAGAAATCAGAGAATCAGGACCTTCTCCAAATATACTCCTAACATCTTCTAGGACTAGAAAAACTCCTCGCTAGTGAAATGACACTCCCGACAACAGTAATTATCATCCCTCCTTAGCCATGGTTTCGCCTTCCACGGTTCGCTGTGGTCAACCATGGCTCAAAAGCACGGGAGTGCAATACTACAGATATTTAGAGAGAGAGAGACGTACATTGCATTCATAAAACTTCTACTATAGTATACTACTGTAACTGCTCTCTTTGTTATTGTGAGGCCATGGGAGAGTCATGCGATATTTTTGTTGGTTTTTCTATGCAAAAATGCATCACGACTTCCCGATGACCCAACAGTTATTGTTAACCTCTTACTGGGTCTAACGTACAATGAAACTTAGCACAGGGATGCACGTGTAGGG